AGGTGACTCTGGAGCTGGGTGGGGTGGCGGGGCTGGACGGTGGCCTTCACGGCTCCTATCCACGTGGGAGTGATCCTTGATAAATCGGGTGGGTGTGCTGATTCTGTCCGCGGCTCTCCTTCCTCTCAGGAGCCAATCTGCTCCATCCTTGTGGTTCTGGGAGGGATTATGAATCAAGGCACTCGTACCCTCTTCTAGGGTCATGTGATTCAGGGTGGCCAGTCACCGAGGGCCAACCTCCTGGCCCCAGACTACTGAAAGAGACATGTGACCCAAACAGGACCAATCAGATTCTTCTCTGGGATTAGCCTATGGATTTGGGGTATGGGATGTTGTTATTCTCCCGGGCTGCTAGACTAGGAGGAAAGAAGTCTGGGACCTTTGCCTGTCGTGTGGATAGAGCCTGAGAAACAGAAGCAAGAAGAGCTAATAGGTTGGCAAAGACAGAGACCTGGTGATAGCTCTCTTCCCGGCTCCTGGATACAGCCAGAAGCACCTCTGAGCTCCCTGATTCTGTGGAATTTTCCAGTTTAGACTATTTGGATTAGGTTTCTGCAACTGGAAACAGAGTAAGTTTGATTGATTTAAGATTTATGGAGCACTTCTGTGTGCCAGACACTGTACTAACAATTTTATAAACATCGTCTGATTTCTCTTGAGTGCATCATTCATGTCTTGGAGAGTCTTTTCTGCTATGTAGAATGGGCATAATATTATAAGCCGGCTGTGAGTCTTCAGTGAAGGAAAGCATATGAAGCTCCTGGCACCTAGTAGGTCCTCACTAAATGCTAGGTAGTTTTCTCCAACTAGGCATCTCTGTGATGATATCTTTGGAAGTACTTTATGGAACAATGTCTCTGTTTCCCAAAGTGGAACTGAGGAATCAAAGAATATGCACTGGTTAAAGTCCTTGACACACAGCCCCAAATTACGCTCCAGAATCATGTAGTAGTTATCTTTATGGCTGTGCAAGAAACCACCACAAACACAATGGCTTAAAAGAGCACACCTATTATCTCACCCTTTCTGTGGTTCCTTGGCTGGGTCTCGGCTTCACTGTCTCTTATAAGGTTTTGAGCAGGTTGTCAGCACGGGCAGTGGTCTCATTTGAAAGCTCAACTGGGGAAGAATCCGAGTCTTGGCTCACTCATGTTATTGGCAGAAAAGTTCCTCCTGGACTGTCTCCTGAGGCTCTCAGATCCTCAGGGATGTTGATAAGAGGATCGTACAGTTTCTGGCCATGCTGATCTTCCATCGTGAGTCATGGAAGCCAAGAAGGCAGGCAGAGCAAGTCTACCAGCAAGATGGAAACTGCAGGCTCATTGGACGGCATCACAGAAATGACACCCATCACCTTTGCTGTGCTCTGTTGGCTAAGAGCAAGGTCCACCACTCACACAGAAGGAGACCACCCAAAGATATGATTCCCAGGAGGAGGCATCACTGGGAACCACTGACTTTTTTCTGTTATGAGTTATGCTCTTTATGTTCTACCTAAGGAATCTTTGCTTAACCCCAGGTTATCCCATGTCCTCCTATATTCTCCTTTAGTGTATAGCTTTTCCATTTTGGCATGTAAGTCTGTGATCCATTTAGAGTTAACTTTGACATGTGGGGCAAGCCATGGATCAATGTTTATTTTTATTTTTGCATATGAAGTCCAACTGAGTGAGGTCATTTTAGTCAATGAGAAGACTCCCTGTGCTGTGTGATTACAATCCTAATGATCACATGTCGTGAGCACTCCCTGTGGGTTGTACCTGCATGAAGGAGCACCTAGTTAAATGGCTTCTCAGTGCTATGCACCTAAGTTAGAACTCCCTCCCCACCCACACCAATTGACTTGTAATGACCCATGAGACATTTCCTTGAGTGAACAAAGCAAGGTTTAAGCCGCCATTTGTGGAAAAAGAAATGTATGCACGGTGTGCTAAGCCATGTACTGGCCTGCACAATGTATCTCCGGAAAGATGCAAACAAATTTCTAAGTGTGGTTTCCCCTGGGGAAGGGAACTTGGGGACTGGGATCAGGAGTGGAGGCGAGGCTCTTCACTGCATGGCGTTCTGTATTCCTTGAATTTTAAGACTTGTGTATTTTATGACTCGTGTTGATATCATCCATATAATGTAAGAGAAAAATAAAAGAACTCCTGGGGTCTGCTTTCAGAGCCCCTACTCTAATCCACTGCCCTGACTCCCGTGCTCAGTCACCTACACATCTATCTCTCCTTTCATCCCTTCACCTCTTTGCCTCGACATTCCCACCTGCTAACTGGGGATGATAATGCCACCCCCCTCATCGCGTTGCTGTGAGCACTGACATGATGCACATAGAACTCTCAGAACAGGGCCCTGCACCCAGAGAAAGCACAATGAACACTATCCTCATTACTTTATTCACAGGAAAAATGATTAGAAATGAGTCTGGCATGCAAGCAGAGGCTTCTCTGGTGACAGGATAAAAGACTACTTTCCTTATCTTCTTTCTCCCCCAATATTAAAAAAAAAAAAAAAAAGCTATGCACTACCTCTTTGTTGTTGTTGTTATACACTATTCTTGTATTAGACTTTTCCACTCCTTCCCGGTCTGGCTGACCCCAGGAGTCCCTGAGGCATGTTCTCTGTGGGCCGCTATGCAGACTCCGCGCACTGGCTGAGGTTGGAGGAGGCCAGCTGGTCTGGCCTGAGTCTAGACGCATTATTTCCCTTGGCTGTCATAGAAACGAGATACTTCTTAAAACAGGAAAATGTTTCTGGACAAAACTGCAGGGTCAGGGTGAAGAACAGAAGGAGGGAGGGTGTGTCGTGTGCTCATGCGACTAGGCATCCATTTTGCCCATTTTTCAGATGGGAGACTGGTGCTCCTTGTTTTCAGACATTCAAATGAGTTGGGGAGCAGAGACAACTGGCTGACTTCCAGAAGCTTCCACCTAAGTCACTGTATTTGTCTTGATGATTTGAACTACAGGAGAAGCTGGTCTGGTGTGTCTGGGGGAGTTCAGCTCATGTGGGGAGCAGTGGTGGTTCTGAAAGTGAGGGGGTGCCGCCAGCTGTCAGCCCCACAATTTGGCTTGGGACCTCCTCTTACAGCAAACTGCTTTCTGCTGTCCAGTCCTGGGCTTTTCCCTTGTCCTTTGTAGCAGAGTGGAGACTCTTCCCTGCTCTTGGGGACCAGGTAAGCCCTGGTCCAAATCCCTGCTCCTTTGCCGACTTTGGATAAGTTACTTCGCCTTCCTACTCCTTGGTTTTCTCATTTCCAGTGTGGGGGTGTAGCAAGCCCTAGTTTTGTTAGGGTTTGTGCTAGGCAGAATCATATCCCGTCCTAATCCCTGAACCCTGTGACTATGTTACTTTCCACCTAAAAGGGGGCTTTGCAGATGGGATTAAGTTGAGGCTCTCAAGATGAAGAGGTTTTCCTGGATTATGTGGGTGTGATGTCATCAGGGAGGGAAGGGAGTCAGTGAAACAAGTCAAGGACAGAAGTAGCCAGCGGGGAGAAGCTGTGCTGTGTGGCTGGCTCTGAAGACAGAGGGAGGGGCTAAAAGCCAAGGAGTGCAGGCGCCTCTAGGTGCTGGGAAAACCAGCAAATGACACTGCCCAAGAGCCCCCAGAACAAGCACAGCCCTGTGATTTCAGCCCAGGGAAAGTTCTGAGTGTGGGTTTCCTACCTCCAGAACCATAAGAGAATAAGCACAATTGTGTGTTGGGTTAAGTCACGAAATTTGTGATAACTTGGTGCAGTGGCCACAGAAAATCCACATGGGATTGCGGTGAAGATGAAATCTCACTGAATGGTGGGGTTTCGAGGGAATGTGATTGGGGTGGAGGCTGGAAGGGGGCTACCTGAATCCCTTGGTGTGGAGGCACTGTCTGAGCTCTCCACAAGTGCCAGCTACCCCCAAATAGCACAGCTTTGACCTACTTCTATGACAGCATGTGTGACACCTTGTTGCATATTTCCTTCCTTTTCTGTGTCCCCAAGACTGTATGAGCTCCTTGGAGGAAGCAGGGGACCTTATCCAATTCCTGTTCCATCCTTAGTGCCTGGCATACAGTAGCTGCTCAATAAACTGACACCTGCCAACAAGGCAGCTCTCATCTCCTCACGGCCCCTCTGCAAGATGATGGCCTGATGCTCAGCTGTCTCCCCACTCTAGGGTTCTAGCGCCTCTGTTCCCTCCCAGCCCCTGCTGAGCGAGGCAGCGTGAAGGGCCACATGTCCTTCGTGGAGGCTGGTTGCAGTCTTGGCTGGGGAAGGGAGCAGCTGCGCCCTGCAGCCTGCATTTCCAAGGGACCATGACCTCAGAGAACTGGCTGGTCACAATCTCCTCCTTGTGATGCTCAGAATCCCTATCAGCTCATTCCCAGCTCAGACTTTGCAAGCCCTGGCCCGGCAGGACTGTGGGGAGCCGGCTGGTGGCTGGTGCCGGCACTGACGTGTCGGTTCTGGTATTCATAATCTGGAGAGACTGTTTCCTCAGGAGCTACAAACATGCTCTGGGAGGACAGGGGCACCGGCTGCTGTCTGACGCGGGGGAGGAGACGATGTCAGACCTGCTTGTTCAGATGGATACCCCAGGTCGTGGCAGCGGCCTCACTTCTGGAGCCAGGCCTGGGTTGAATGTCCTGTTAGTGGCGTGACCCTGTGGGTCACCCTGAGCCGCCTGTCGTGTTCTGTAGAAAGGACCTGCACTAATAGCACAAGCTGACTAATGTTTCTGGCTGTTTCTATGGGTTACCCAGGCTCTGCTCAGAGCTTTCCATGTGTGGGTCCAGGTCATGTGCTCATGATCTCAGGACCAGGACTGTCTTTACACCTTCTCTGCGGATGGAGAAACCAAGGCCTCAGGAGGCTGTGCACCTCGAGGGAGCCCGGGACGAGAGTGGCTGCCGCCACAGCCCTTTGCTGACCACGGGTGGCCGCTGGGATTGTTGTGTTAAGTGAGATGAAGCTGCCATGGCGACAGACACACCTAGTAAGTGGGTTGTTGTGATGAGAATCAGGGTGTCACCTCCACCCTCTCCATGTGACCTGGGTAAGTCCCCGACATAGGCTTTGAGACTTTGAATGTATCTCTAAACCCAGTGGCTTTTAGCTTATCTACAGGGTTGTGCAATAATCACCGGAATCTAATTTTAGAATGTTCGTTTCACTCTCAAAAGCAACCTCAGTCCATTTACAGTCATTCCTCATTCCCCCTGTGGCAATTAGCTGTCGGCTTACTGGCCTTGGGCGCCCGGATGGACTGTCTCTGGGTGCTCGAGGGGTGCTTCCGCTGGCATCAGCAGGTGGGCTCAGAGGAGCTGGCTGCGCTCTAGGATGAGAGTGCTCAGCGCCCGTAAACAGAAAGAACAGGGCGGCGGTCTGCTTCCTCCCATCGCCCGGCGGGACATGGCCTTTCTCCTCATCTTCTCTGGGCACTGGGATTCACATCGTAGGATCTGCTGCTTCTCAGGACTTGGGCCCCTCCGCTGGCAGGTGGGTGATCCTTCTCAGCCTCTGTAATGCAGCAAACAAATCCTCGTAAGAGAGGAGTGTGTGTTGAGCCCAGACCAGCACACCCTCCCTGCGCAGTCTGGACTGATGGTGTAAATGGAACCGCATATGAAGACTTGTTTTCCCTTGGCTCGATGGCTCTGGGCACCTCCTTGTAGCTGTTCTATAGGATGGCATCATAGTCTGGCATCTGGATGGGCTGCGTTTTGTCTGTCTATTCATCGGCTGGTGGGCACTTGCGTGGTTTTCCCTGATCTGGGCTATTGTGAGTAGCACAGCTATGAACCTTTGCGAACCAGTCTTCTGTGGTCTGCTTGAATGAAATTATGGCTCACGTGGTCACTTCTGTTTCACATTTTGAGGAACTGTTTGTCCCACTTTATGCTCCCACCAGCAGGGCCTGGGGGTTCAATACCCCACAGCCCCACCAGCACCTGCTCTTAACACAGGCTCCCTGAGCACTGGTTCTGGGTCAGGAGTGGGGAGGCCATGCCAGCAGGTGGCTGGGGTCAGGAGCTGTTGTAAGCGCCTGCAGATTGTTAGAGGAATGTTCTCCAGGCCCAGACACTTGCTGGGGGCCCCTAGAGAAACTGTGGGGGTGCAATCCAATTCTGCCCCCAAGCAGCTGATGTCCCAGTGGCATGGCTACGGGGTACACAGGAGGCATATGGAGCAGTTAGAGGCTAATACCTGACATTCTGTGATTGGTGACCTGGAAGATGGAGATGGGATGTGCGTCTTCTGCCTGCCACCCAGTCACGGCGAGGAGCAAGCTGCACAGGGGGAAAGAGGGCTGCTAACATCTACTGCGTGTGTGTTGAGCACCTACTGTGCGCCAGGTTCTGGGGTGAATGCTCTCTTCTATACTGTCTGTTATGGACTGAGTGTTTACGTCCACCCTGGTTCCTCCTAACCCTCAGTGGGATGGTATTTGGAGGTTGGAGACTTTGGGGGTGATTAAATCATGAGCAAGAGCTTCATAAGCGAAATCAGTGCCTGTTATAAAGAGATGGTGGTGAGCTTGCCCGCCCCTCCCGCATGTGAAGACGCAGCAGCAAGTCCCCAGAGCCAGGAAGCTGGTCCTCACCAGACACAGAATCTGATGATGCCATCATGTTGCCGTCCTAGAATCGTGAGAAATAAGGCTCTGTTGTTTACAAGCCCCGAGTCTGTGATGTTCTGTTACAGCAGTCCAAGCAGACCAACACATTGCCTCATGTAATTTGAAGATAACTGTGAGTTTGGTAGCTTCACACCCATATTTCCAAAGAAGAAAAACGAAGCTCAGAGAAGTAAAAGTTGCACCCAGGGTCACTCAGGTAGAGCTTGGTGGAGGGGGCATTGGAAGTAAAACCTCGCTGATTCTCCCTTTAAAAAAAAAAAAGATTTATTTATTTATGTACACAAGAGCTGGGGTACAGGCCAGAGATGTGGGAGGTGAGAGGTGTATGTGTAGTAAATACACATACAGTGCAATATTATTCAGTCTTAAAAAATAAGCACTTGTTTGATTGCTTGTGTATATGTACCACATCTTCTTTTCTTTTTTTAAAGATTTATTTATTTATTTATACAAGCACTGGGTACAGTCAGAGTGCGGGAGGGTGAGAGAATTCACCAGAGCCAGAGCGGGGAGCAGAGCAGGCAGAAGGACCGAAGTACACTGCTGAGGGGAGCAGCGGGCGGCAGGAGAGGTCTGCGCGCCATGCGGGACCCTCCTCCAGTAGCTGGGGAGCAGCTGGGGATTGAACCGGTGCTGCAGAGGCTGCGGGCAGCTTCGCAACCCAGCGCTCAACCGGGGAGTCCCCGTGTACCACATGTTCTTGATCCAGTCATCTATTTTTGGGCATTTGGGTTGTTTCCATAGCTTAGCTGTTGTACATAGTGCTGCTATAAACATAGGGGTGCCTGGATGGAGCTGGAAGGGATCATGCTCAGTGAAATAAGCCAGAAAGAAAAAGAAAAATACCAGAGGGTCTCACTCATAGCAGGAATTTAGAAAACCTAAATAAGGGACCAGGAAAAAGACTAATTATAATAAAGTAAAAATCAAAATCAACAAGCAACTATAAACCAGAGACACACTACAGGGGGAGGAGGGATTAGGGTCAAAATAAGGGGGGGGTGGGAATTGTATGGGGAATATAACCAAAATGAAAATGCATACAGTGTGCAAAAATGAAAAATGATGTAGAAAACATATAAAATGAAAAAAAAGAGAAGCACTTGTAACAACATGATGGGCTTGGAAGCCATTATGCCAACTGAAACAAGCCAGTCACAGGAGGACAAATAGTCATGATTCCTCTTGTGTGAGGTACCCAGTCAAACGTGTAGCAGTTCCAGAGGGTGGTGGAGAGTCATCTGAGGAACTGGTGCCCAGTGGGTATAAAGTCACAGTGATGTAGAATGAGTCAGTGCAAGAGACCTACCGTACAACACCAAGCCTCCATCAACAGTATCGTCCTGTGCACTTCAAAGTTCATTCCAAGGGGAGCGCTCAGGTTAAATGTTCTTATCACAAGACAGAAACAAAGCAACAACGAAGAGAGACTAGGAAAGTTTGGGAGGGGGTGAATGTGTTTATTATCTTGATTGTGATGATGGTCACACAAATGTGTACATATGTCCAAACTCACCAAACTGTATACATTAATTGTGTATATTTTGGGGGGGGGGTTTGCCAATTTTAAGAATGGGGGAGGCAAAGCATACTTTTCTCATAGGATTGTTGTGACGATTCCTAAGGGAAACAACTGATGTTCCTGGTACAATGGAAGGCTTCAGAAGGTGGGCAGTCACTGTGACAGGTTTCTAGAAGGGGATATTTGTGCTAATCCCTTTTACAGACAAGGAAGCGGAGGCTCAGCAGGTTAGTGGCACAGGAACCCAGGTGTTCTGGATAATCATTTATCCAGATTTGGGAAGAGGTTCTCCTGGAACAGAGGATGCCTTGGCATCCTGCCAGGCATGTGATGGGGACATTAGACCAGTGGGCTCCTGGTGCCTTTTCATGTTAAACTAATTCCATCATAAAGGATATGGAGTGTGGCAGCCAGCTCCTCTGGGTGTCTCTCACAGACAGATGGAGGCTTTGCACTGAAACAGTTATGCCAGGTCACATCTGTGGAGTCCAATTGGCCAGTTGAACATCGTGACCTCATGAGACTTAATAAACAGAGGCCATTTCTCCCCAGCCTGGCACTCTTAATAGCCATACTGATATCCTAGCTAGATATCTAAAGCCCCGAGTTGGTTCCTTATGATTTTGCCACATAAATTTAGCGCTGAGCTTGTCAGAAGAGACTTTTGGGCAGAATTCACTTATTAAATCAACAAATCTTCAAGACACATCTACTGTGTATCATGTGCTAACCTGAGAGTCAATGATACACTGTTGGATAGGACTAAGGCATTCAGTCTAAACACAGCTTCCCTAAGATAACGGCTTACACAGAGAAGCGTTTATCTTTATTTTCTAACAAGTCTGGAGGTAGGTACTTCAAAGGTGAGGCAGCTTTCAATGATGTTATCAGAGACTCAGCCTCATGAGGAGGTTTGTCTTCATGGTGGCATGAGAGCTGCTGTACTTCCAGACATCACATCTATATTCCAGGTGGGCCTCAAGCCTTCTCCTCCCAAGGTCTTCTCCTTTTCCTTGGGGGAGCCGTTCCCAACCAACTCTACTTTTACTTCAGAATTATGTCAAGAGGACACCACCGGCTGAAAGGCGTCTAGAATGTGAAGGTGGGTCAGAATGGTGTTGACTGAACTATCCTAGAGCTCTAGCATATTGTCTGAATAGGAGCAGATAGAGAGGTAGCAGATAACTCCATCATTCAAGAGTCATTAATTACATTAAGGAGAGGATACTTAAAATGTACCCCACCCCGAGTGCAAACTGGTCCAACCACTATGGAGAGCTGTGTGGAGATTTCTGGACCTACTAAACATAGAGCTTCCATATGATCCAGCAATTCCACTCCTAGGTATTTACCCAAAGGACACAGAAACATCCATTCCAAAGAGCACCTGCACCCCTATGTTTATAGCAGCACTGTTTACAATAGCTAAGTTTTGGAAACAGCCCAAATGCCCCAAAATAGATGACTGGATCAAGAAGATGTGGTCCATATACACCATGGAATATTACTCAGCATTCAAAAAAGATAAACACATGCCATTTGCAGCAACATGGATGGCGCTGGAAGGGATCCTGCTCAGCGAAATAAGCCAGAAAGAAAAAGAAAAATACCGGATGGTCTCACTCATAGCAGGAATCTAGAAAACTTAAATAAGGGACCAGGAAAATGAATAACTATAAGAAAGTGAAAATCAAAATCAACAAACAACTATGAACCAGAGACACTCTATGGGGGGTAGGGGGCGGGGAGGGGAGGGATTGGGGTCAAAATAAGGGGGTTGTAATTGTATGGGGAATATAAAAATAAAATTTATTAAAAAAAAATGTACCCCACCCCAATTTTCAAGGCATTTCCCACCTATTTTGAGACCAGCAGCGTTGGGCTTACTCCTCGGAGGCCACCGGATCCTTCTACCATGTCAGCCCCTCTCAGGCTGCCTTCTAGGGTTGGTAGCTGTCAGGATCCTCATCTGAGGACACGGGAAACTGAGGCTCACAGAGGTCCGGCAACATCTCAGGACTGGCTTGGGCGTGGAGGAGTCGGGACACTTGGGCATGTCCTTCCACCCCCACCCCTGCAAGTAGGGGAAGATGCGGGAAGGGCCGGCCAGGCGGCTTCTGGAGCGCCAGGCTGGAGCTGGAAGTTGGGGCGCGGTGTGGGAGAGACAGGCGCATTGGGGCGGGGAGGGAGACGCAGGGCCGCGTGGAGAGGGGCTGGGGTTCCGTTGGAGACGGAGGGACAAGGCTTGGGGGCGAGCAAGGAGTGGGTGAGACGGTGCCCCAGGCTGGGGTGGGGTCCAGGGGAGGTGGGGGGCGTCAGGGAGGCGGGCGAAGGCTC